CTCATTCCTTAAGGATAGCATCTCCTAGTTTATATTAAATCACCTATTCAGCATGGTGATCTGGCTTCTACTGCAACATATTGAAAAGCAAGATTCTGATTAGTAGTGAGAGGAAGAAAGAGAACTGGAACGCATGACAAAGTTTTCAAGGGAAAGACAAAGGAAATAAAGGGTTAGCTTTGTTTGGTTTATTAAATTTCAAGGGCTTTGCCTGCCAGTTTGAAAAATGCATGATATCACCAGTGTGTTTATTAAAAATGCTACTTTAAATTGCAGATCCAGCCAGTGTGAATTCCCCTTGGTAGCTGTAGGTTATTGACTAACAATTATATTCAATTTTTCAATGAAAAGAGGGAAAAAGAATTAGAGAAGACTTGCAGGATTATGTTTCTAAAAGCTGCTGCTAATTCAAGTAAAACTCAAAATCTGTACGTATGATAGTAAAATGTCCAATTCACACAGCCGCAGCATTTTCAAGGTCGCTTTGCATATGAATTGTTAAGGTCTTTTAAAATGATGCTCAGAATCAGGATAAAACAGCATAAACTTTGCTCAGTGCTCTCTTGACAGTTTATTACCAGATTTAAGACGGGGTGGGGAACCTGCCCGAGCAAATGGTTGCTTGCTCGCTGACTTGAAAAATGCACTTGTTTCAGCACAGAAATAACAAATCTGTTTCTGATTCTAGACATTATTTTCCAAATGCTGCCAAGAAAAGAATCCAAGGAATTCTCTTCCATACACAACATACACGAGACAACTGGAAAGAGGCCTGTGATCTGCTTCGGGGTTCACCATGAGGAAGGAGAGAGCTGAGCGAGCTCCTAGCATGAACTGCCCTCGTGGGAGCAGGAGTGCATGCCTAAGATAGTTCAGAACCGTAATCTCCGACATAACTCTTTGCTATTATTAGACAACCTAAAGGCTTTCCTAAATCTGTAACTTGTGAAGCAGAAGAGGATGTAGACGGGACCCTACCATGCCGAGCATGCAGACAGCTGCGATACACCCACTCCACAGAATTCAGCACTTTTTCAACCCATGAGACTAGATTTCTAGATCTTGGACGACACATATGAGCTGAGAAAGGGAAAGAATTTAGTCTCACACCAAAGCCAGGTTTAAATCTCTGGAGGGAATGCTGACCAGAAAAAAAATCCAATATTAAATTCAGAAACCTGAGGTTCGTGACACTCATAAAACAAGCTAAAATTATTAAGAGCACAAAAGGATATATGTATCAATCCTTTCATTAAAGCAATGACATTTTAAAAATACCTTATTTTTAGACTCAAGTGCACAGAGGTACCCTGCTTTACAATTTTTAAATCTATGTTTCAAGAGGGTGTAATTTAGCATGTATCACTTCTGTTATTAATAAGGAGGAGACTCAGCAATACAATCCACTTTGGAGAAAAGGATCATAGGAGAATTCTGAAAGACTGAGTCATCCAACAGACTGAGCTAGCTAATGCAACGGTTTAAATTTTTGGCCCACACTGAGTTGACTGCAGTGAACTGAGTTCAATTTTGTTTTTTTTGTTTGTTTGTTTTTCCCCTTCTCAGCAGGATAAGCGTTCATAAAGGAAATTGGATTGTTTATAGGAAATAAAAAGGCAACATTTTCTTCTTTTGCATGACTGATCATAGTGGGTACATTTTCAATATTTGTACCCATACATACGACCTTGTCTTAAACTTGCATTGCCATAAGTTTCAAATGCATCGCCAAAGTAGCTATGCTGGACAGTCATCTTTACAGCTTTCCATTCAATATACTGCTTATCATACTACCCTCGATCAAGGTGATTTTATACATGGTCCATTCTCGATGGGGTGAAGTGTCCCCCCCCAAAATCCATGTCTACTAGGATCGTCAGAATGTGACCTTATTTGGAAAGAGAGTCTTTGAAGACGTAATCAGTTAAAACGAGGTCATAAACTGGATTAGTATGGCTGGTATCCTTATAAGAAAACTATGGGACACAGAGCTACAGGGAGACTCATAGGGAAGAAGGCCATGTGATGACAGAGGCTCAGATGCTACCATAGGCCACAAGAAACTGGAAGAGGCAAACAAAGATTCTCCCCTAAAGGCTTAAGAGAGAGCATGACCCTGCCAACATTGTGATTTTGGAGTCTGGCCTCTAGAACTGTGAGAGAAGAAATTTCTGTTTTAAGCCACTCACTTAGAGGTAATTTGCTATAGCAGCTCTAGGGAGCTAATATAGATTTGTCTACTAACCAGTGCCAGTTGGCCAATGCTTTGCTTACCAGTCTACAACAAGATTACTACAGGAAAAGAGATTAAATTTTTAAGAACTTTTATAGCTGTTTGACATTGTAGCAATATCCCACAGCACGTGATTTTATGTTTTACAAATTATCTGTCTGCAATAGATTGGAAATTAAAAGGAAAAAACAGTCTTCACAGTAAGAGACACACTACAAAGATAATTAATATTTATAAAGATGAAGCTGGTGTACTGCAATTAAGAAATTTGCATTCCGAATCGTCTCAGAGAAAATTAGGTTCCATGCAGTTTTAGTGGTAAAAATACTTTATTCTAATTTTTTGAGGAAAGTAATCCATGAATGGTAAACAATATATGCATGGTAGTTTGCTGTTAATCATATTATTTGATTAGCCAGAAACTCGCTTCCCAGACCATGGTGGGTCACTGATCACACCGTGAAGGAAAAACATACCATGGCTTTGTTAACCACAGGGATCTTGGCAGAACTTGAGAAACATCTTCCCAGAGACTGGGAACTCAGACATTGCTCATGCAAAACAAACTTGGGTGGAGTAGGCGTATCTGAGCTACTTCAATGGCAACAGTAGAGAGTGATTGTAACTCTATGAGCTCTTAGAGCTGATCGCGATGACAAAGATGACATCTCTCCTACAAGAAGGCATTTTTCCAGCACCAAATCAACCAAAAGTTGAGTAGACACGACCTCAGAAAAAAATAGTCTAGAGATAAGGATACCCGGCATTGACATGGAAGTCTGTCTGTCTGATGCGACTGTTTTCTTTCAGCTGTTAAAAGAAATACACTGGAACGTGATTTAACCCAAAAGAAGGGCAACCGTGTTTCCTCTAAAGTCAAGGTGAATCATAACCATGGCCTCCACGGCCCCTAGAACTTCAGTTAGCCATATAAACAGGTCAATTAACCAAACCTTTGAAAATGCCTCCATCAGAGAAAAACACAAACACAGTAAGGAAATGAAGCATCACAAAGAGACTTAACATTCCCACACTGAATCTCACCATGACTTAAAGGGGTTGCCCACATGTAGCACAAAGGACAACCTAAAAATTATTACTGTAAATCAAGAGGTTATAAATCACAGGAAGAGTGTAAAATGTCCACTGTTTGTCCTGGCTGCTGGGAGATCAGAAAGTAGGCTTAAAAGGGATTGTGGATTCCTGATTAGAACACACACTTCAGCATAAAAGCACTCAGTTGTCATCACATGCCATTCACTTGACATTCTAAAATGTCCTAAGTTACCACGGAAACTAAGAGTCCATGAAATTGATAGATTCTTTAATAAAATGAAATTGCTGTTATGGGAATGGGTGGAGACAAATATGTTGAAGCTGCAAAGTCCTACCCTGCAACAACTCCACACCTGCATTCAATTAAAAAATCTAAACTTTAGTTATCATTAGATCATAAGGATTTCAATTACTTTGTGGAAATTACACTGTTAGCATGCACCCTCAATCCAATAATACTGGATGTTGGCTCTTCATAGCTACACTATTTCTTTTTTGAGACAACTTTTTAAGAAACAGCATCATAAGAGCTCATAACACATTTCATTTAACATCGTTTTTTTAGAAATATTCAAATTCATTTCAGCCTTATGGAGCTCCTTAGAAATTCACTGCAACTACTCTCTCTAGTTCGAATTAATTAAATTCTTAGGGGGAGAAAAATGGGATGTTCTTTTTTGTTCTTAACCCCCTTGATTTTGTCAAATTTGTACCAACTGGATCAACAAATATCCCAAACTCAAAGTTTAACATTAAAGACTTTGGCGATTTTTCAAGGAGTCAAATTAGGGTTAAAATTGTAAAAGTTAATCCAAAAAAAAAAATTTTTTTGTAAAAGTTAAGACTAGAGAACCCATGTCTGTACCTCATTAATAGACTGAGGACAAAGAGCAATCAGCAAAGCAAGCCAGGACCACTTTATTTCTAAAAATTGAAAAGCTGTCAAGAATTCCACATCAACAGAATGACATACAATGAAAGAAATGAACAAAATAGTCTACTCCAGTTCCAAGGAAATTCATTTTAACTCCCCCAATTCCAGCAATCTCACAGACAAACACACTCTCAAATGCCTAAGTTAACTATGTTATGAAAAGAGTTGGAAAAAACAGAATTGAAGAAAAAAATAATTGCCTATAAAGAGAAAATACTTCCCAACTAATCAGGAAATCACTACATGCCCTCATATATTCACCATCTTATAGTACTTGGGAAGTGTTATCATCCATACTAGCTAAAACAAGAACTATATCTAAAGTAAAATTAATTTCATTCCTGAATTCACACACTAAAGCTTAAAGCAATAGAACTGCTCCCCAATTCTAGTCACTCTAATCCTTTACATGAGCAACTCATCACATGAAAATTCCAATAGGATTATACTACAACTGTAAACTATTCCTACTTTTATTAAGTTTCCTTTAATTCTAAACTTTTAACTACTTTTGTATATGGCAAAACACATGCGAAACACATCCAAACCGAGAACTATCCTTTCTGTCTAAAAGAAAATTCCATCTCCCCAGCAAGAGGTCTTTCTTCCTGTTTGCAACAACAACAAAAAGAACAATGACCTTTCCACTTTTATACTTACAAAATCCTCCTAAACTTTGATTTTAATAGACCTAGAACTGTGATTTAGGCTCTGATGCTAAATGACAATTTTTCTAAGTATAACGTCACCACCCCAATGGACCTGAAGCCCCCTCACCTTTCAGGCAGAACATTCTGAAGCAGTTCCATGGACGGGCCGGTGCTCTGCAGTCGGATGTGGCTGCAGTGCTAGGCACAGCTGTCTCCCAGCCCACCTCCCCAGCGCTCACTGCCAGAGAGCGAGCGAGCGAGCAAGCGGGGCAGCCAGCCAGCGCCTGTGATTACAGGAAGCCACTGCCCAATCCCTAGCTTTCTGGGCTGAGCTGCTGACACCTCCCTATCTCTCATATGTTGTTTCACACCACAGAATCAGCCAGGATCATCTTGGAAAGTCAGGGGAGGGGGTGTGGGCAGTCGCTGTTCATAACGTCCAGTGGAGAACAGCGCAAAGGCAAGCCCACTTGTTGGTCTTATCAGTGTTTTCCACTGCAGCAGATGGAGCGCCTCATGTGATCAACGACAAAAAAAGAAAAGAAATCGCTGGATTCAGTTTAACTGTTTGCTATTAATTTGACTATTCTTTGACTTCATCATTCCTTTGCTACTCGCATTCTTTTTTCTGACATGGAACAACCCATATACTGGTACATAATCAGTACCACGCATAATGATATGAAACTTGGTGCACGGCTGTCTGGGTCTCCAGAAATGAGTGAATATATGTGAAGTGCTCCTAACAGTGCCAGACACACAGTAAGCACTACGGAAGTGTTGACTACTATTATCATCACTACTGCCGTTAATAAACTTGAACGTTACGATAAAAATGTGAAGTGTGTTACAATTCTATGGCACTGCCAGTTGTCCGATGAGGAAGCAAAGATGAAGAGCTTTAAGCTGGCATCGAGTATGTGAATTTCTAAGTCTACTGCTGCCATAATCAGATCATGACACCTCTCCCCATCCACTGGAAAGCAAAATTCACTCTGGCAAGTTGAGGACTACTTTACTGTATAAACTCTTTAACAGACATTAAAAAGCAAAAGAAGGAATTTTATTGCAGATCTGAAGACAAATGGTCTACAAATGTGGCCTCAAGAGCACCCTGCTTGAAAGTACAGTCTGATAGTGAGTGGTCCCATGGCCCTCAGAGACTCTCCAGTCTCCTGGTCACAGGAAGTGGCCATTGTTCACAAGGCCAGTTGCTGTGTACAGTCTTCCTTTTGACTCCACAGGATGCAGGAAACTGACTCACAGAACCAATCTATCTGTCTGTGTCCTGGGGTGCTTGCTGCAGCCCTTACTACTACTGCTCTGTTTTGGATTTCAACATACAGTTGAGCATACTCTAGCTGGATTTCTCTCCCTCATCTCCCAGTTTCTCCAGCAGTGCTTGGTTAATAAGTTCCCTACCATGAGGAAGTCATGGTACTAGTTGCTATAATCACAAAAAAATATCAGAGGTCCCTCGCCAGAAGCTCATTGGAATGGAAAAGAAAAAAACCCAGCATGTGTAATGACAAACAGTGATATTAGCTCTCAGAACAGAAGTGGAAGAAACCTCATAGCTCACCTCGTTTGGTACGAGTTGACCGGTTCAGAGATGAGGTGACTTGCCCAAGTAACTAATGGTTGCATCAAGAGAAAAGTCAAACCACCTGACACAGCCCTTTTTATCTCATCACATGACCCTCCCCACGGATGGCTGGAGTCATTCCTTGTCCTTTCCTGTCTTGAGTGGGCTTCTATGCAATTTATGAATTGCAAAGGTATTCCTGAAAATATTCTTGTGGATTAGATACAACTTTTTAAATCGCACATAAATTGCTCAGAGAGAACCTCTGCACCTTGGAGAGTTAAGACTTCTGAACATAGGTTAGTACACAGGGTTTAGGGTGGTTGTATGCTTTTAATAGCACTATGAATACTCACAGTTAAACTTTTAATACAGGGATAACTTTATATGCTGGAAAGAACACTAAGTAGAAAGTAAAGAGAACTTGATTTCAGCTGCATCTGTAGCATTATCTAGCAGGTCTTTATACTAGTTCATGACCTATAAATGTGGGGAGTGAATGTGGGGGCTAAATTAACTCTAAGATTCTATCCTTCTAGACTACTCCATTAATTTTTTGCTGTATATATTAGTATAATATATACAAGCATTTTGATGTATATATTAGTATAATATATATAAGCATTTATATATATGTATAAATACATATGTATATATATGTACATATTAGTATAATATATACAAACATTTTGTTAGGTGCATTATGTCAGCAAAAGAGACAATCTTTGGCTTCTCTCGGTTTAGTGTAAGAGGTAGGTGGGTGAATAAACAACTATAATACAATGTGATATTATGTAACAGAATATACAAAATTCATAATGATCAACAATAGCTTCTTGCCTATTAACATCTAATTAAGCTGCTCTTCCCAACCAGGTAAAAACATCTACAGTTTAATGTCATGGGATGAACGGCGGCCCCAAAGCTCCTGTCTACCCACAAGCTCAGGATGTGACCTTATTTGAAAACAGGGTCTTTGCAGATGCACTTTAAGTGTGGATCAAAATGAGATGGTACCGGATGAGGGCGGTGTTAAGGACAGTAGAGTGTCCTTATAAGAGACAGGAAAGGACACACAGAGACATAGAGATCGCTGTGTGAAGGTGGAGGCAAAGACTGGAGTGATGTGGTCACAAGGCAAGGAACACCTGGAGCCACCAGAAGTCGGAGGAGGCAAGGAAGGACCCTCCTCTAGAGCCTTAGGAGCGTGTGTGGCCCGACTGACACCTTGTTTCAGACTTCTGGCCTCTGAAATCAGGAATTTTTTAACTTATTTGTGAGAATAAATTTTTGTTGTTTCAAGCCACCCCATTTGTGCTAATTTGTTACAGGAGCCCTAGGAACTAATACATTTAGCAAGGTAACAATTATGGGAGAGGGTGCATGATGTTTTTTCTTTTAAAAACTAACTTTAATTTACAATTACATGGGCTTAAAACCTATATTTTCCATACTGCTCTACTTCACTGTGGCTAAATTTTCAATGAAAAAAAAATCTTCTAACAAAGCACTCTTAATGAGCACAACTACCATCTTCTATTAAATTAGTGAAATTAAGGTATCACCATCTGAAAAGTTCACAGCATCAAACTCAAGCAGTAGAAGTAGAATTGGCTTTTACTAATATCAAATATAAGATTTTTTTTTTAAATCCCTTATTTTCACTGTCAAATAAGTGCGAAAACATCTGAGAAATAAAACATGAAAAAGCACACCTTTCAAACTGGCGAGAACCATCCATTAAAATCATTATTGTCTGCCACCACTGATCGCTGCTACTGAGTTTGAAAAATAAACACCCAAGAAGCCAGTGTGAAGGGAGCAGGCCCAGGATGATGAACACTCGCGGAATTTACAGCCGTCTGGACGGGACAGAGGTCTGTCTCATCTTTGCCAACCATGACCTTAGAGCAGCAAGCACTTCTCTCCCTCGTAGGATGATAACATCCAGCATCATGTTAAAGTTTAACATTATTACCTTAGCCAGAGGGAGGGGTAGCCACACATACAGCCAAAAATTTGTAGTTACTTGGGTCTTCCAAACCACTCCGGTGCTTTTAAATTCCTGTGCTAAAAAAAAAAAATTCTTTTTTTCAATAAAGTAGTGGGAGTATAGGTAAATTAGGAATTGATTCACACAATGCATAGGATTAGTGAGTCTAGAGGGCTCAAAATTCTACTTAGTTCCTGGTAAAAGACAAAACAAACTTATATAAGAAAAATAAGCAAACTGTATTTTCTCCCTATGCATCCTGACTCTTAGCAAAAAAAAAGCCCAGCAAAAATGGAAAAACCTTCTCCATACCATGCAAGGATATGTTTTGCATCAACTAGAAAAGTATTTCATCAGGCAAGGCCTGTTTCCGTACCCTTGTCTCTGGGCATGTACCTCAGTGCTTTACAAGTCAGAGAAGACTGAAGACATATTCCCAATCACCATTTTCCCTTACTGCAAGAGACTGGAGGTGCTGATCCCCCTTTCTCCCGTGCCCGCCCCCCCTCCCATCCCTATTCCTTTTAAGATTAGAAGGACCAGGTTAAGCCAGTTCTCTGGAAAAGAAGCCATTCTGGTGGCCAAGGCTAAATGGCACCCGTGACCATCTGAACATCTTACCAAAGTTTTAGAATATTTCAGTTTTCTGAACTGTTCTAGAATATGTTGTTTTTTTATCAATATTCTGAATTTCTCAGAAAAAAGAAAAAGAGACTCAGTTTGGTTTTTTTTTTTTATATCTATATTTTTTTTTACTACCATGGGCCTAAGAGAAAGAAGGCAAAACATTATAGCATTATAACTTTACACTGGCTAATCTAACGGTTTCCCTGGTGACTTTAAAACTGATTCCGGTTCTAGTGCTCCAGTCTGGCCATCTCTGCAGGCAGCTTTAGTTCATCGTTGGGAAATCTGGAACAGGTCTTTGTTCTAGACACTTCCTCCTCCTGTCACCATCTGACCCTGTATCCTGTTTGATTTTTCTGAGCCCTGGAGCCAGGGCTGACCTACCTTAACCCAAAGACAACCTTCATCCTCTTTGTAGTCACTTTTCTCTTAGGAGGTATCTGAATCCCGGCTTGTTAAAGAAACAAGTTGTTTCATGCTGAACACAAACCAACTATGGAGCTCCAAGGTAACAGGCAAATACTTGACTGGGGTCCTTCAACGGCTTCTGGCCTCAGGGAGCCTCATTCCCGTCACTACCTTTCCTCCCGGAATCATAGTAGCTCTACTCTAGTTGGCTATGTTTAAATGTGCTCTCCTGAGCCAATGCTTAGGGTTATTTCAATTTTTTTTTTCCCCACAGCCAAGTCTGGACTTCTTGACACCACAACCAAGATAAGATAGCAGCCCTCACTGAGCCCCTTATCATGAGAACTGTCTCTAATCTCATTCAAGGCACATTAATTCTCCCAATACCCAAATGAACTGGTAATTTTTAAAGAACCCTGGGGCCCCTCTGGTTCTAGTATCCAAGGGAATATAATATTGGGTTTCCAAGTTGACCTGAGCTCTTAGCTAGATAATCTCACAGCCTCTTCCTGATCTTGCGTCGACTATGGAGTTGCCTTAACGCCATTGCAGTAAGTACACTGGGCTCCAGTCTATAACTCCACCTGCTTGCTTAGGAGCACAGCACACCACGGAGCGACAGCAGCAGGAAGGAGTCTTCACTGCGCATT